CGTTTTGATTTTTTAGACGCTCCGGATGCATTCTGCAATAATTCCTTTGACATGAAAATTTAAATTCAGCATTATATTCAGTAATATATATATATATAAATATTATATAATATATATATAATATATATCAAAAGAGCTAATAAATAACCTAGAGCGTAACAAGCGGAAAATTAGTGCTATTTCACGCCAAATTTCATCACTTTGTGATGGTTCTTAGGACTAATCATGTTATTAGCGTTAAGCAGCATTGCTTTGCTCTCTAAATAAAGACACAACCGCTTGATCTCTACGATACCCCTAGCCGAGATATGGGACGTGAATTCATGCCTCACCACAGGCCTCAGTAGATAATGAGTGATGCGAAATAGCACTAGTTTTTCGTGTTACACTCTAGGCTGTATATTACTCTTGACGATCTGCAGGTCCCGGAGTGGATGCAGCCGTGCCGCGAAAGCGCGGAACAGCGCCGCCTCCGGCTGGCGCTTTTTGATCAAAATCGCTGCCCTGTTGAAAAAAAATTTCCAGAGGCTCGCTTTCTGGGGGTATAGTGAAATGATCCTTATTGAGCGATGTTGTGGGCATTCCAGAAGCCTTTCGAGTATGCACGTAGGTGGGGCGAGCATAAATCCAAATGCTCCGTTATCTGTTGCTATGCGCTCGGGGGCGGCCGGCTCGTCTTTTCCGTGCTAGAGAAAAAACGAATTTAGCGTTTCTGGTCTGTTTTATGCGCCTGAGAGTGTGTAAATTCGAACTTACTCGGATCGATGCGCAACGAGTCCCATCTAACGTACCGATTTCAGAGTATTTTTAAAAAAAAAACGCTCCTGTGGCTCGATGCACTAGGGAGCTGACCGCGCGGCTGCAGCAGCTTCGATACCGCTAGCGTAACTAAGACTTCAGTGTAGCCAACGATAGTTGGTCTGACTGAAGGTCCGGGTAGGTAGCAGTCTAGCCCTGCCGACTCGCACTACCCGTTCCATTCTTGGACGCTTCCAATGTGCATGTGCTGATCTTTGCCATTATGATTATCACGATATTATCTTGCAAAGCTCGCCGTCTTCGGTAGGCGTCAGCGCGTGGCGTGGCATCGTTGCGGCGGAGAATTTCGTCTCAGTCTCTGTTTGGTTGTTGTCTGATTTCTCGCGTGACACAAAGCTATGTTAGGGAACAGCAGACATTATGTTTTCATAAGAAGTCCAACACTGTGTCTTCAAAGTGGTGAAACAAAAGATCGAAGCTGTTGGGATGAGTATTTGTTTTATTAATAATCGTTTTTGAGAGCGTACGTTTACAGCCAGTTTTGCATTATCATTACATCGTGCCAGTGTTGGGCCTGCTTATAGCAAAAACTTCGTCTTACCCTTGTGGTCCGAGGGGGGCGCCCTGAGTTTGCCTTTGTGCAGAATAACTTCGCAGAAAAACTTAGTACAACTCGCGCTGCGCTCGCAGTTACCTTGACGGCGTGCATACCCCTGTGGGCAACAAACTGCCTGCGGCGCCCCAGTTTTAATCGAACGCGTGGCTATCAGTACTAGAGCTACGCTCTATGTGATTATTATGTGATTGATTAGTACGTCGTCATTGTTTGTATATAGGTGAACATTTCTATGTACATCAATAGAGGCATATGATTGTGCGGATGTATGTACTTATAGTCTATAAAGACCGAAGCTTAGGGCTTTCGCCTGCACGCGTTGCCGCAGGCCGCTCTGGTTATATGAGCCGCTGAGCGCATAATAAAGATTACAATTCATAAATAAAACTTATACATCACCAGGTAGAAGTAGACGGGTTTGACACTTTTTATTGAATATTTCATTGAACTTGCAAAGAGAGCCAGCTGAATGCAGCTCAAGCTGTTTCATTGTATTCTGGTAAAATTAACGTTCAACAAACAGACCTGAACGGCTAGGATTTACGGCTATTCGGCGAATCAATATCGCGACGGAGCAGCTATTGGTTGGGGGTTTGGCTTGTTCAATAGATATGTTGATTATTACCGTCGTGCATTGTTTGTTAGATTTAGGTTACATTTCTATTTTACCATGATAGAGGCGTATTATTCCGCATAGTATTTATTATAAGAACCCAGCTTACTGTACTCGCCTGCAGCGGGCGCCGTCCGCTCGTTACCATGAAGCCACTGACGCCATAATAAAATACAATTCATAATAACACTTATCAACACAGTGTAGTAAGTAGCAACGCGCTGTTGGACCACTTTTATAGATATTTTCGTGTTGAGAGAACTTTGCCCAGAAGAACAGCCAGCCTCAATGCAGCTGAGCTGTTTGCATTGATTCCCGGTAAAATTATTCGAGTGGTCGCTGGCAGCTATGCGATCTTCGTGCCGCCTGCCGACCTGCATTCGGATGCGCCGGACGGAGTCCATACGCTGCCAGCGCTGCAATACTGTCGTAGGACGTTCCCGCGGATCGCCGTGCGCCTTTGCCGCGGAACCTGCGCGCGAGATACATGCGCTGGTATCAGGCGCTTCGGGATTAAGCGAGCCGTGCGCGTGATGTCGGGAAGCAACGCTTCTCTGATTCCGTCTCATCCTGGATATATATACAATATAGTATACTATATATATATACAAAATACAATACATCTTACAATTTTATAAGAGCAGAATAAATTCCTTAAGTACTTAGGAGTTAACGATTGAACTATTAAGTACAGTCTACAGAAATATAGAAGTTCATGTTATTTGAACCATATTGTGATATATCTCTACTACATCTAGATGAAATTACATCTATAGAATACAAGAGTTTAGTTAGTAGTTAAGTAACAAGTACAGATATAGAGTTATAAGTTAGAGTTATCCTGTTATGTGATTAGTTTGAGATTTAGTTATAGTTGATATTACTATGCGTTGACTGAATATAATTACAGCGTGTTATAGAGCTAAGTGTACTAGTGAATAAACAATCGTATTATCAATAGGATTAGAAATAACCAGTACAGAAATGGTAGTTTAAGACGGTATATTTTTCAATAACAGACTACCTGACAAAACCATGACTACTATTCCAGGCAGTCGGATTAAATTATAGACGACAAGCGACTGAGATTGTATATTAACCAGGGGTGGATTCCAACTTCCGTATTAAGTAAAGATTTGTAGTTGTAGTGAATTTGATAAGTTTAAGCAACCGGGTACAAAGTTGAAATAATCTTATTCGTTTGAAAAAGGTGAGTAGAGGATGGTGTTAGAGTGTTTACCCTGAGAGTCAGCTGAATACGGTTAGAGGGAACTGAAGTTAACTAACCCGTGTCCGACGGAACAGATAAACCAGAAAGCGGGGTAGAACACTCCAAACGTGGACGTGTATTCACACTGAATAGAGGGGACAATTGGCATGACGCTTGCGCAATAGAGCAGCATGGATGGGTTGGACCGATATTTATTGTCTGATGGCGGTACTTGACTGATTTATAAGTTTAGCGTTTTGCAATTTTAATTAATGTCTTGCACACGCAAATTTTATATTACTTATACTAGGTTCAGTATCTCGGGCGACGTCGTAGTAATTGCTGAAAAAGTACTAAGTAATATGTTATCTAGGTACGGCATTTCCACTCGCAACAGGGCTTGGTCCTATACCCAGACATTCTACTAGCCCTTAGGCTGAGTGTTTCTACTAGCCGTCGGGCGATGCGTTGGGGTTTGTGGCGGCGTTAGTTTTCAAGCCCTGCGATATCTAAACATCCAGCACTTGCTCAGGAATTTCACACGCGCGCATATTAGTCCTCTAAATCTATTGCGTTATATCATATCTTCACAATTCACGAATATTGGTATATGCTGTTCTCCATCAGATAATATTCACTTATCCTCTGCCACTTTAATCTTTTCCTATTTATTATCCTTAGGTGATTGCCGACAAAATTCTTCACTCTCTCTGTCATGAATATAATGTGGATCTTCACGGTGATGTCGTGATACCAAGTGCGATGCTTGATGACCATAATTTTAAAAGGTTACTATTGCTTAATATAGCATAAATGATGTTGTCAAAACAACTAATGGCTAGAAGATTAAGACGTTTGTGTAAGTTAGTATTGTACATGAGCAAACCCAGATCCACCCACCTCACCCCCCCCTTCCACCACCCCCCGCAAATGGCAAAATTTTGCTCACTGCGTAGCCTCAGCGCGGCACTTCAGAAAAGTAAGGGCTGGGAGATATTTTTAAGGGCTAGTAGATTTTACAGGTCACTAGCCCTGCTGGCTAGTGAACATTTTAGGTTAGTTTCAAGCCCTGATATGGATATAGCTATATCAATAGTACGATCACGGCTTGTTATTATAATCGTATTGTAAAGTGTTAAAGCAAATTAAGATTATTGGAATGTGTGTAGCTTCTTATACGTCACATTATTTTCTTTTTCAAGTGTTGGGGCTTGACATTCAAGATGATGGGGGTCGTCATGAAGTTGGCTTCATGGAGAATATATTTAAAACTCCTCTGATGACTGATGGTAGAGTAGGTTGCAATTTCCAGGCTAAATTTCAGATTAATAAAGTAAGTACTCTTCATGTATTAACCATGTATTTTAAGGCCTTATCATAAAGGTGTAAATCTAACTTATACTATATTTATTGTATATATATAATGAATGAAAGCATGACAAAAAGTGTATGTGTGTGCGTGCGTGCGTGAAGTGAGTAAGTACAGAAGTAGGTAGAATGAAACATATAATGAAACATGTAATGTGTGAGAGATGGAGGAGAAATGGAAAGGAATAGAGGGAGAGAGAGAGAGCATGAGAGAAAGGATTGAGGGGGGCACAAATAAGAAGGGAGAAAAATATATAGCAGGGGAGGGAAAGAAGTGATGGATGACTACGAAGAGTGTTGGCATGAATGACAAATATCTTATATGATGAACAGGTGCCTGGAAACTTCCATATATCCACACATGCAGCAGGTCACCAGACAGGGATACCAGACATGTCTCATTACATCCATGAATTGAGCTATGGGGATAAAATTATGGTATGTTTCGATGTATAGTACTGTTGATGTTATTATTTGAACTGTCATGGTAAAAATGTATACCTTCCATGAATCCTTTCTGGCGATAACATCAATGTAACTCATTTGAAGTAAATCATTAATTGGAAACTATGCAGGAATTTTGGTTTTGCAACTTTGTGGCAAGGTTAATAGAAAGTACAGCATTTTCAGTATTTAAGATGCATGTACTGCCGGGCCGTAACCTGTGGGGGGCAAGGGGGGCTGCCCCACCTAGATTTTGCAGCAAAATTAAAAAATAAGCTTAGCTAATAATCGTAAATAACCCTAACATGATTTTTTTGGTCACTTATTCATGAAAGCCTTGTCTCAGACCCACCCTACCACACTATGGACGTTGATCAACAGCTGCGCCCGTCGCTCATCATTACACAGTTGAGTCATGAAATTTTGCCCCCCCCCAGGAATTTGCTCAGCCTACGGTCCTGTCCTGGATAGTAACAATGTGAAGAGTCCTGTATAGAGACTAGAGGTTAGGCTAGCATATCCAAATCTGCTAATGTCTGTGACGTTTCGGTTTGTACATGATAAACATTTCTTGTTGCATATAGGAGTCACATGTTCCCGGAAACTACAATCCTCTGAGAGATGCAGACAAAACTGAGGGAACTGGTGAGTGTTGTAGTTTACAGCGAGGAGCAAGGTAGGATTGCCTGAGGTACAGCGTGAGCGCCGAGAAATTGTCTTGTATAGTAACCACAGCCGCAATGTGTTTAGTAACCACAGCCGCAATGTGTTTAGTAAGGGCGCGATCCAACGAGCTTACGGACCTAACGACCGCCGGGGGCACCAGTCTCTAGGGGCGCGCCGGGGACATCCCCCCCCCCCGGAAATTTTGAAAATTAGGTTGTCTGAGACTGCATTTCGCGCGTTTTTAAGGCAGTATGATATGAAAACAAGCAGCCAAAAGCGATCCTCAAAACGTGGACATTTCTCAAATTTTTTTCTGCAAAAAAGTGGACCTCCGCAGCCTGTGTGTGTGTGTGGGTGGGTGGGTGGGGGGGGGGGGGTGCGTACCCTCTTCCCCACGGGCATGGGAGTTGTGGTTATTTGGTTATTATTGTTTATTTTTCTGGTTCGTAGCATAAATATACAGCCACGTGCTGAAATAGCAATTTACAATTATTATCAACTCTATTAAATTTCATTATACTCAGTTATTCAGATATAAGTACATCATGATCATGTACTGAACAGTACGTGTCAGTCTTTCTTAGGGAAAAATCGGATGAATGTAAAAATCAGAACGGAACGGAATAGTTTGTGGTTCTAATTTTATAAATAATATTTCTATAGTATCAGGGGGTTGACACGATTATTATCAAACCGATACGAAATAAAAACATTTGTCCATTCCTGGAAAAAGACATCAAAACAATAGTTACTTGTATTGCCTCAACGTGGCGCTTCAATCGCATATTTTGCTTTGATCGTGCCGATTAGAGGTTATCAACCGCAGGTGTATATGTGGCAAACCGGCGAGTTCATATCATACCGTCGTTCCCATATGTAATATATTTGTAGTAACATTACTACGTAAGTACGTTTCCCAGAAATCACAGAAATGGCTATTGATGTTCGCAGGTATGTTATCGATTGCCATATGTGTTCCTTCACAGTAATAGTAATACTAATACTAATACTTAGTAATAGTTGCCTGCGGCAACTGTAGGCCTACGCGGGCTATAGTTACTAGAGCTATACTAGTAGTATTACTAAGTAATAGTTTATACTAATACAGTAAATACTTTACAGTACTAATACAGTAGGGTATATTATTATTTTTTATTATTACTGTATTAATTACTATTTATTATACTTATAGTACTACTACTACTTGTTGTTGTTGTTGTTATTCGTTTATCCTCCTACTACACGAGGTCATGGTCACGATGTAAACCCTCTTTGTATCATTAGCTACAGGTGTTTTCTCATAGTAATTTGTTGTTGTAGTTTTTTAAGAATTTGTAACAACGGAGTGTCTGTGGCTAAATTACTGGGATGGACTCAGACAGGAATCTGGAGAGGGCCTGTTTGATGGTGGCATCCATCTCTGGTGTAAGATTCCTGTTTTCCCCAGTAAGGGTGGCAATGTCAATTGACCGATGGCTTGGGTTGGTGTTGGTCTTCACATACCCCAGTTCGATCGTGTCAGTCATCTTCTCCCTGCTAACCTTGAGTCGTGAGCAATGTAATAACTTGTGTTCCACGGTTTCATTGGCGAGGCCACAGTCGCATAGGGGACTATCACTTGCCCCGATCTTAAACATGTGACCACAGCCGCAATGTGTTTAGTAACCACAGCCGCAATGTGTTTAGTAACCGCAGCCCAAAACTGCATTCCTATTGTTACTAGTAGTGGGAGCTATTGTTGACTTTTTAGGAACTATACAGTCAATGTTTATTAGCTGCACTAAGTACTACATGTATGTGTATACAACTTGACGTATTTTCGTTTTTACAGCAATGGCAACCCATGAGTACATTATGCGTATAGTGCCTGCTATATATGAAGATATTCATGGTAACAAAAAAAGTGCCTACCAGTTTTCATATGCATATAAGGTAATGCTCATATGCATATAAGGTAATGCATACATATATTAACGTGCAACGTTGTTATTTATATGTGACATGTAATAATGATTATGGAATAACAATGGCATCTGCTGTTCGTAATCTATCATGAAAGCCAACAATATTGATGTTTGCAATATAAGGGTGAGCCATAGGTATAGCCTTAATTGTAGAGGTCTAAAGTCATGGGTAAATTGGATGCTTTCATAATTTTTTTCTGCACATGGTTAAAGATGTACAATAGGAAACCATTTTTCTTCAGTAGCGACCTATCGACATTGCTATGGTATATTTATTAAAAATTGAAAGAAATTCTGTGTAAATTATAATCTTACAATATTTTCCAACCACAACATAATTTAGATTGCGTAATTTTTCAGCAATATGTGCAGTATGGACACGGGCACGTGATGGTTCCAGCGATTTGGTTCCGTTATGATCTCAATCCTATAACTGTGAAGTACTTGGAGAGGAGACCTCCTATCTATAGTTTCCTGACCACTGTAAGTACCTTCTGTTTCACAAGGTAACACAGGTTCTATTGTCAACATGACAGATACATTTGTCAAGATAATAGCGATGCCGTTATCGAGAGAATATGCCAGCTGTAGTCCGTGTTGTCTGGCGAAATTAGGCAAGACCATTGTTATAACACAGTATAGGCTCAGTAGCAGCACTGATATCATAGTAACAAAATAACCAAAAGTAGTAAACTGACATCACGGCAGAAAAACCTTAGATTTGCCTCAACAATAATCGAATCTTATTTCAGTGTGGCGTGTATTTGTATAGATTACTTGAGACATTTGAGAGTTGTGATAGTTTTGTGTTGTTTCGTCACCCAGGTGTGTGCAATTATTGGTGGAACATTCACGGTTGCTGGAATCATCGACTCCTGCATATTCACAGCTGCAGAACTTTTCAAAAAAGCAGAGATGGGAAAACTGAGCTAACGTATGGTAATAGCGCCCCATGCACTATTCCACCGACACACACGCACACACACAGCATGCCGTGATAGAAGGTTTGCCAGGCAGAGTAAACACTGATGTCATGAGTGAACCTAAGGGCAGCTGCTGCTATGATGCAGCTTCTAGCTCAACGTAATGCTGGTAATAATTCCCATTCAGTAGTTTTATTCCATTCAGTAGTTTTATTCCATTAACTAGTTTTATTCCATTAACTAGTTCACGATCGTGGTCGTCTCATGTTCGGTATCCATCCTTTACGTTGGATCTACAGTTTGACTCACTGATGGCTATGTGTATTCATAGCAGGTGAGAATTCATAATTCATTGAATATTCATAAACTTCTATTTTTCCTGTTATTGATATAACCAGGGGTGTCATCTATATTATCACACTCCTGATAGAATATTATGTTTACCTGGTTTTATTTCTGTGGTTCTCGCAATAACATGTATCGAAAAATACCCTCAGAAAACCGCGCTCAAGATGCTGCTGCTAACTCGCGTTATGCCGTGGATGGCAAATTGTTTTTAATATAAATTTTAACTAGGAACCAAAAAAATCAAACTAAAATGTTTTAATCTTGTGCATCTCACACATGATCGTATAATGCTGCAGATTTGCGGGAAGAGAGGCTCTATATGCCTGCTGCTTGGACAGGTAATAATAAAAAGGAAAGAGTTACAAAGGGCACAGGTGCTGTTGACAGAAACATCATACCTACGTATGGCAGTCATAAGTCTCAAATCTCATAATTTTTTCACTACCCTCATTTAGAGTTTATGATGCTATAACCATTTGTGTATGACATTGGGGTCACTGTGTCTGAAACTCACCAATGCATGTTTACTGGTATGCAACGAACAGACGAACGTAGTCTTTACTATCGCTTTGTCATGTCGCTGGCGATGTATTGTTTATGTCAGGTATACTCTCCTGCAAGCTACGCAGCTGGACATTAATTAACAAACTTATATAACTTATGTCATATATGTGTAACCGTTTTATTGAGTTTTTAACTTCTCACAACTCTTTTGTTTTTACAATTGTTTGCACTTCTTGGGTTGCATGCTAGGTGCTGCACTTACAGTATGCACAAGTTTCAAATGTGTTTGAATCTATCTCCCGAGTTTCTTCATGTAATACTTACTAATTTATTATATATACTATCAAGGCCTCATCTACGTTTGCAGGCATTGATCCAGATTCGTCTATTGGGAGTTACTAAATCTATTTTTATATGCTCTATAGTTCCAAAGCTTTGGTTTTTATTATGTGTCTAGATTAATAGTAAATAATACAGAATTTGTTTTTATTGTAGACTTCATGTACTAATAAGGTAGTTCTCATGTTGAAATGCATAACAAGACTAGTACTAGGAATAATCATCCCCTGAAAACACTTCAGAAGAGGTAGTGAGAAAGGATGTGTGCACACGCGTATACAGTAATAAAATGGAGACAAAAAATCTATCTTACCAAGTTCATGTGAAAGGCATTTATTTTTAACAGTAATAAAGTTCTAAGCATGTCTATAATCAGCATGAATGTAGTAATTAGAAGTGAGTAATTAGTATATCAAGTAGACACTTTAGTTGCACCTTCAAAGATTTCTATTTTTTTTCTGGCAAAATTCACTGATCGAGGAAATTTCGATTTATTCTGATCGAGGAGTAATGACGATATATTAAAAATGTTATGTGATGTGTGGCATGTGTTTATTTTAAAAATAAAGAAGCAGTACACATGGAAACGGTGGGGATTCTTTTATATGAATTTATACAATATTCCAAATGGACACTTGAACGTGTTTCCTCGTGTGAAGTCATTTACAACAGCTCTCGAAAATTCCAAGTTGTCAAGATCTCGCTTGCAATCTCGATGACACTTGTTTGTACTGCAAGAATCGCACCGTTTTTCATGTATTTGTTACACCTGGCCACGACCAAACATAGCACTAGTTCTGAGGTACAGTGCAACAATTGAACTTCTGCACTGCACTGCACTTGAGCAAATTAGCACATCAGCTCATTACTGGAATATATGAACACATTACTGGAATATAAACTCATCTGCACTCATGACGTGAACATGCTATTGGCTTAACTGTGATAAACAATTTTAGAGCTTTTTACCATGTAATTGTACATAATCAGTACACAGTTTCGTGATGTGCTTGCATCATAAAAACTTAGTACAATAGTATTAATATCACCCAATATTAAACATTTTCCCCTCTCGGCCGTGTGCATATGTAAGTCAACGTTATATACATTAAATCAGGAGCGTATAATGACAAATTGTCATTATACGTCATGGCGTCAATGACGTCAAATTGTCATTATACGTCATTATACGTCATGACAAATTTGTCATTATACGCTCCTGATGAAATCAAGATGAAATACATGAGTATACATACGTTCGTGTGACCGTGACTATGAATTTACTAGGTGGGTCAGTGAAAGTTTATCCACCAGCTCTAACGTGAACTAAAGATAAATATAGGACAACAACATGAAAAAGATGACTGAAAGTCGAGTCGTCAAAGTGGACGAGTGGTTTCACTGCAGTGAAAGTCACGATGGCATGGTACAGTTAAATGGGCGAGTGATGTTCAAGTGTAAATAGTTGGCTGTTGAAATGTGTGAGTACATTAACGAGTTTTGCTATTATTTTTGCATTATGTCATTCTAGAGTCTACATCTATATTCATCTGCAACATGTCTGCTAGCCTGTAATTGCAGTCACTACGTCTATATGAACTTAAGTATATAAGTGCGAATGGAATTGAAATGAAAACATAGTCATACAATTTATTTATTTAAGGATTTTCTCAATGAACTTTAAAATCTTATACATGAGAAAATGTTGCTTTGCAATGAAGTTGGGCATTTTCGTAATTCCGCCTATTGAAGAATTGGTATTTAGATGGCATTTAAAACGAAATGATGAAATGACTGGAAACACTATTGTTGATTGCTTGAGTAATGTACGTGACTAAAACAAAATAGTGTAATTTTGTAACTAATTTTGTAATAATAAATTATATAGTTATTTATCATAGAGAAACACATAATGAAAACTACGATCGCTCAGCGATATCTGGGTAGTGGAAATCTGAATGCTGTGCCATAGCCACCTCAACATTTTCTAAAGAAATGAAAAAAATAAGTTATGATAAATGTATTTCAACAACACGACCGAGCTAATAGTAGGCACACGAAAACATTATGCTGTGAGGTTATGTTAAGTAAGGTAGTTATAAAGTGTCTATAATATAGTAAGTGTGATACTTCAAATCATTGATTTTGCACGTTTATGGGACCACATAAACGTGATTTTACCTGCTGGGATTATTTTCCTATGTATATTGTAGCAGTGTATATTCGAAACAAATTAGTTAACCATGCAAATAATTATAGAGTGTTGACTGAATTAGAACCAATAGCACCGCCTAAGATCAGTCCCAAAGTTTCTATCCATCAGATAGCTAACAAGCTTGGGCGCAACAACATTGACTAGCCAACTAGTCTACGAGCTGCAATAGCGTATTACCTAAATTAATGATTCTCTCCTTGCAAAAGGTGCTGAATATTTTAATATTTATAGTAGTGCCTCATTTCTTCTTAAAAATATTACATCTGCTGCCTTCTCTAATAGCCTATAAATATATTTACAATCGCAAGCAGAGCTATTAACAGCCCAAGTATCATAACTGTCGTGTCAGTATGTGATCTACAACCTTGCTTACAATGACATACTAAAACCCTTATCAGATGTACAGCTTCTATAGCTACTACTGCGGTAGCAACACAGTGTCATCGTAGCGGCTACGCGGTCGACGCGTCTGGCGCGGTCGACGCGTCTGGCGCGGTCGACTCGACGAGTCATCATCCTAGGGACTGCTGGTTCTCCTTCACCTTCTCCTCGCTCTCCATGCTCACTCGCTCCTTCTTCACGAGGTCACTCAGCTCTGCAAGCTGCTTCGCCGTCAGCTTGATGTTCTTCATGTTGGCAATCAGTCCCGTGACCTGTCGACAATCAGAGAAGATGATCAGTCCCCGCCGTACATCCATCCCACCGTCAGCCGCCATCAGCGTCAGTATTCACTCACAGGGATGCGCGAGATGTGCTAATGACAATAACTAATGTGCGCTGACGTGTTATAGAGGCGTTTACGCACGTGCGAAAGCAGACGTAGCCAGCAGTAATGTCGCGGTGAATTACGAGCCTACTGTGTCTCGTGTATGGGTTAATTATCACCCTTCAACATGGCAGATGTCACAAATAAGCGCTGATTGCAGGGAAAGGTATAAGCAGCACACATCTCAAATAGGGGGCACCGGTTGCAGCATAAGGCAAATGTTGGCATGTAGGCATGTCGATACTAGGTTGCTGAAAGCACAGGTGGCGCTGATCGCGGCGGCGGGAGGTACAGGTGG